CTCAATATCACATAATATTTCATAATATTATTTATATAAAACACGATCTCAAAACGTGTATGTTACATTTGTCTTCCTATCCAAAATCATAATTGGTATCTCAACAAAATTCAGATGCTTGTTCCTATATATATCATCCAAATATACAACTGCAAACTCATCCGCTATGCACTTACTCAACTGAGAAACATGGAAAGTGTTGTGGATATGACTAAGTTGTTCAGGAAGATTCATATGGTAGGAAACCTTGCCTGCCCGAGCAATAACCCAAAAGGGTCCAATATACCAGGGCCCCAACTCACACTGCTTCTAGAACCGGATGACGCCTTTCCAAGGTAAAAAAGAAATGGGAAGAGGGTGGCGAGATTATTCACACCAATCTATTTATCATGCCAGAAGAGAGTACTCGTGCCCGACATTATGTGAATACCAAAAATGGAATAAAAATCAATTTCGATGTCAACCAAATCATGAATCACCATAGAAATATTGTACCACACACCAGAGAAGGATTTTTTATCCATGGACTCGACAAGTTTTCTATCGAGATTATGAATCCCGATTATAGCACACCTCCAAAGAGATAAAGGATCCATCTTGAAACGCCAAAACCATGTGGTTAGAAGAGCCCAGTTCAATGATTGTAACGATCCAAATCTAAGACCCCCCTTCTATTTAGATCCAAGAATTACTTTCCATGCAACCCAATTAACTTTATTTCTTTCATCATTACCGCCCTATAAGAACCGTCTCCTCAACTTCTCAAGAATGTCGATAATAGACTTTGGAGATTTAAATAGACAGAAAAAGTACAGAGGAAGGCTGCCAAGAACCGACTTCACAAGTGTTAAACGCCCACCAAAAGATAATGTCTTGCTTTCCAAGACGAAAAGGCGATTATAAACCCTACCAACAATAGGCATTCAATTCCTTTTAAGGGTTATATTACCACCAACCGGCACACCCAAGTACTTGAAAGGGAACGAGCCCACATCACATCCAAGGATACAAGCACAACTCGAGACCTCATTCGCCGAGACACCAATTCCATAGATATTTGACTTGTGAAAGTTAACTTTTAGACCAGAAGCTGCATGAAAACATCTTAAAATATGGGCTAAGTTGGCAAAGTTGGAACTTTTCCATTCACCAACAAACAAGGCATCATCGACATAAAAGAGGTGAGATATCATAGGACCACCATTGGGAGTTTGAATACCATGAAATAAATAATTTTGACAAGTCGATCTTATTGAAACAATTAAACCTTCCATGGAAATGATAAACAAGAATTGAGAAAGAGGATTGCCTTGGCAAACACCTCTTGTGATGGAAAATTCCTTTGTAGCCGATCCATTTAAGAGTACCAAAGCACGTGAAGATGATATGCATTCCTTGATCCAAAATTGCCATTTATCACCGAAACCCATTTGCATCATCACCGAGTCCACATAATTCCAGTTAATGGATTTGAAAGCTTTATCAAATTCAACCTTCAATAAGAACATTTTACCATTTGATTTTTTATCCCAAGAACATATCTCATTAATAATCACGGGACCATTAAGGATGTTATGCCCCTCAATATACGTCGTTTGAATTTCATTAACTATAGAACCAACCACCTTCTTCAATCTAAGGGCAACGGTCTTTGTAATGATTTTGTAGACACACCTGATGAGGCTAATGGGTCGATAATCACTTAGAGAAAGAGGGTCATTTACCTTAGGAATCAAGGTAATGAAAGAAGATTTGCTTCCACTAGAAATACTCCTAACCGATTCGAAATGTTTGAAAAACTGCATGATATCATCTTTCATAATAGACCAATAATGTTTTAAGAATTTAAAAGAAAAGCCATCTGGTCCAAGTACTTTCTCGTTCCCGCAGTTCCAAATAGAATTTTTTATCTCTTCCAGTTTAAATGGGCCTTCCAAACAAATTATATCTTCATCAAAAGGTAATGCAAAATTCTGATTGATGAAATAAGGTCTGGTAGATCGGCTCTCACGAAATTTATCTCCAAAAAAATTACAAACTTCGTTTTTAATGAATTTGACATCGGTGACCCAATTGCCATTAATCATTAGCCCATTCATGTAAGTTCTCTTGTTTTTTTTATCTTGAGCAAATTATGGAAAAAGCTAGAGTTCTCATCTCCATCACTTATCCATTTAGATTTTGATTTTGGAATTAAATCATCCTTTTTTAGTTTCTCTATATCGATGATTCTGATTCTACTTTCTTTTAATCTAGCTATCTCCAGCCAGGTTAATAGTCTCCTCTCAGCCTCCATATCCAAATCGTTCACCATTTTTTTAAGCTCAAGCAAATCCCAATTTTCCTTCTCAAATTCAACCCTCTAAAGTTTAATAGCATTTTTGGCAAAATGAAGCTTATCAGAGAGATATATGTCCGGAGCTCCACCACCATTGAAACTGTTCCAAGCTTGCATTATAACTGAGTCACATTCATCTCGACATAAACAAGAGTTGTACAATCTAAACGGGGGAGCACCAAAGTTCATGTAATGAGTGCAAATTAGGACAGGGGAATGGTCCAAAAATTCCCTAGGAAGGGCATTAATAGAAGTGTTAGGGAAAGCAAACATGAAATTCGAAGAAACAATAATACGATCAAGCTTGCTTAATTTGCAACCATCATCGCAGAAATAAGTAAAACGTCTACCTCCCATGTTAAGACCGAGAAGCCCAACATCACAGATAAACTTGTTGAAAGCAGCTGCAATTTTAGGGCAGAAAAAAGAATTAAGCCTTTCTTCCGGTCTCCTGACAACATTAAAGTCACCGAAAATAACCCAATTCCCGGTCCTCAAGTTCATTTGATTAAGAAGTTTTCCCCAAAGAATTTTCTTCTCAACTGGTGCTTGCGGCGCATGGACATTAACAAAAATAGTCTCCCCAATGATGCCTTTCCAATAACCAACAACATCCAGGAAAAATCTAGACTTGACTACTGTGATAGCATTAAAAAGGCTTTTATCCCAGAAACTAACTAAACCACCGGATTTGCCAATAGATTCCACAAAATCGAACCCACAATCATAGCTACCCCAACATTCTCCAAAATCAGAAAGAAGAACAGCCAATCTCGATTCTTGAAGACCACATAAAGAAACCTTATTCTCCATTTTCAATCTCTTGAGCCAATAGATTTTATGCGATTAACTTATCCCCCTAATGTTTATAGAAAGAAGATTCATGAGGAGTTTCTGATAACACCTCCTCTATTGAAAAATTCTAAGAAAGCTTGATTTCCACTGTCAATTTGAAACCCCACTCGAATACCGACATCAATAGTGTGCTCTAACTCACATGAAGAAAAAAGACGAAGTTTTTGTAGGAGAATCAACGGGATCATTGTTTTTTTTCTCACCAGAAGTACAACCAACATATTGATTAAGGTCAATGGATCTGGAAATTGGAGACAACCGTTGGTCATGAGTACTGATTCAACTTTTTTTTCTACGACGACGTTTAAGGGAAAAAGAACCTATCTCAAAATTTGGGTTGCTTTGTGCTCCATTGGACTTCTGACTAGAATTAGGTCCAGGCGAGTCTGGACCAACACTAAACCCACCATGTTCACCTTCCAACCCATCTGAATGGACCCCATCAGATTAAACCCTACACAATTATTCTCATCACTTTTAGGGCCCTTGGAATACGACGTATGACCCCCATCAATGCATGGAGACTTCCTAAACTGCGTCTCTTCGTTTTCCGCATGAGTGAGCATGGTCTTACCTATTCTAATACATGTTGTAGAGTTCACGACCATTGGAATTATCGGACGTCCTCCTACTTGATCGTTATCATTTGAATCGATCTCACCATCTTCAAGGTCCATATTACCCTGTATCCAAGTGTTCGAAACTCCGTCAATATAATCTTCAGACTCGTCGAATCCTTATTTAATTCCTGTGAGAATGGATTGAATGGGGTCCTATCATCGTCAATTTTAATTATACCAATTCTGCAAGCAAGTCCGTCAAACGCAACATTCACCTCTTCATTTATCCTCTTCTTAACATCAGTTAGAATACAAAGTTTTCCATAAAGAAACATCATTACGATTCCAAAATGGACTTGTGTTTACCAACACCTTCCCAAAAATACAGGAAACTACTTCGAAATTGGACTCATCCCAAGATTGAAGTGGAATTCCGGTGATCTTGACCCAGACAATTCTTTCAAAACGAACCAGCTTCTTCCCTATATGTTCTGCCCTGTTAAACCATTTCAACCAAATACTTTTATTTTCCATGAACACTTGAGCTGCCCCATCTGATTCGAATTTGATGACGATTTTCATGCTTCCAAGGTATTTGGACTCCACCACGTCAACTCCTTCTAAGTCTAACAGTGACAGGAAATTACAGAACGTTTCAAAGTTTTTTGCTTCTCTAACAAGAACTAAACAGGAAGTCCAAGTCTCCACCTCATGAATGGAGGAAAGGGTTATTGTCGGAGTAGCGTCATTCTTAGTCTTCCTCCTAGCAACATCAACAAAAGACCTAGAGTCGCTAGTTGCATGGTTGAGAGAAGTGGAAGCAACAAGTGTATTTCTTATGTGAATGGATTTCGCATCAATGCGTAGATGCTTTGCGCAATTCACCTTTAGTTTCCTTCCCCTGAAAATTACTTCATTAAGGTTTCTTTCAGTGGTGCTAGGACCAACCGCCTCAAAGAATCAAATGAAAGCAAAAAAAAGCACGAGAAACGTCCCTCCTACCAACAATGTACACATCAACCAACTTACCTAGCAACAAACATGACTTCCATGTAACATCTATCAAAATTCATAAAATTTAAACTTTTCAAAACAACCCTTTTTCTAAAGAAGTGTTTACAAAAACCATTGTTCCCAAAACATTATTTAAAAATCAGAATCGCTTTCAACATAGTTTTCAAAACATTCACATTATTGGAGTTTCCCAGAAATCATAAGTCCAAAAGGCGAGGATGTGTACGGTCACGCCTTCACCTTGACATGATCCACTAAATTACCTGAAACCATAAACCAAAACTGTAAGCACGAAGCTTAGTGAGATCCCCCAAAGTACCAACACCCAAACAGATAACACATACAAATAACAACATGTATTGGGTCCACATCTAAAAGACCGGATTACCCCTTGAGCCCACAGTATAAGTCTGGCTTGCCTATCAGGCCCACAACTCATATCTGGCTTGCTCTCAAGCCCACAACATAAGTCTGGCTTGCCCTTGGGCCCACAACTTATGTATGGCTTGCTCCCTCAGTTCTTGGACTGGAATACCAATGAGTAGCCCTCAGTACGATCCTCGCATACCACCCGGTCCTCAACTTGTATCTGGAATGCCACTGAACCCTCAGTATGAGTCTAGTTTGCCCTAACCGACTCTCAGCTCATATCTAGAATGCTAATGAGTCCTCAGTATTAGTCTGGCATGCCTTCCCTGGCCCTCAGCTCATATCTGGCATACTCCAGGGTTTGTTGGCTACAACACAAAGCAATACAACCTCAACCCAACCCACACAATATGTCGACATATAACATATAATATTATATACAGATAAACATATAGTATCACAAGTAGTCCTACAAATCTACCATGCTAGCATATCAAGACCAACATAACAAGACTAGCATGCATATCTATTCCATACTCGACATATCAACTGTGACATCCCCATTTTCACGGCCAGAAAAGACCGATTTAATTTATGCTTTTAAAATAAAATCAGAGTAATCCTTTGATTAAAAGAGTTGCGGAATTTGTTCCCAAAACAAAATATGATAAAATAAAATTTATCAAAGCATTTCTTAAAGAAATGTATTTTCATATATAACAAAACTCGGGATGTCATATTCCGATACAGACCAAAAGCATAAACAGCACATTATAAGCCTTACAACAGTTATATACAACTACAAGCCTATAAACAAAATAGCTTGATGATTCATCCAACTTATGCTCTCGCGCCACTACCTGTAATACAAATAAAACTGAGTGGGTCATGCTTGGGAGCCTGGTGAGCATATAGGGTTTTCAACCCACAATAAATAATTA